CTTTACATTTTTTTTGAAAGGTTTTTGCTACAGGGCACGTGTGCGCTCACCAGAAAGACAGACAGAGACATAGAGACAGAAAGCGAGAAATCCCCCCCCAGGGGGGATGGTCATGCCACAATCCCTTCTCCTCCATTCTCCTCTCGGGATCTTGGGCACACACACACACGTACCCAGCATGAGTTTAAGCCACTGTGCCTGGGACTCAAACCTCGGTCAACTACATGGGAGTCCAGTAACATAGCCATTACACCAACTGCTGGTTCCCAGGCTTCACATCTTAAATGACTCACCACCTACTGACACCATTACACTGGGAACTGACTTCCAAACCATGAACCTTTCGGAGACAAACCATTGTCCAAACCATAGAAATAGGCTAGCAGCCCTCATTCCCTAAATGGAGTTTATGGATTACATCATAGCTATTTGGAACAATGTCCATACAGGCCCTTGGCCAAACCTATGGTTATACAGAAGCAGATTCCTGTGCAAATCTAATTGCATTGAGACACACCTCCCCCTGACAGTCCTTACCAGAGCTCACAGCTGTGGCCCTTGACCCAAACATAGCATATCTGAATTTTGTTGGGGTTTTTTTAAATTTCTTAGTTCAAATGCCCACGAAGGCATTTCAGTTTGCAATATCCACTCTATGTTCATCCTAAACTCTGACCTCAGGACATAAACAGGTACAAGAGAGTCAGGTAGCTCACAAGTCAGGTACTCACATTACCTGCTCCTCTCCCTTCATTTCTTCTCAATAGTTAAGATACAAGATGAAAGCTATTGAATTCCAATCACAGCTGTTCTTCTAGCTCATTGTGTGACCTGAAGCAAATTGTTTTGTCTCTTGGTGGTGGGCTACAATATTTCTAAGAGAAAAATCTATGATTCTATGTGCCTATTCTCTCCATCACGGTGACAACATTTAGAATTGTATATTAGTAAGTCCAATGAAGTTTACTTCCTATGTAGTTGGAAATAATCAAGCACTATTATCATCCAAATGTACAGAAAGAGAAACTTAACATATGAAACAGTCGAATAGAATAGTAATGTGGTTGGGGCCAGCAAGTGATGTGGTGGATTAGGCACTGGACTCCTGCATAGCAGACCTTGGTTTGAGTCCCAGACCTGGCAGCTTGAAATTCATGCCAGGTATGTATGTGTGCATGCCCAAAATCCCAGAAGGAGAAGGGGGCATGGCCATCCTTCCTGGGGGGTTGATTTCTTACTTTCCCTCTCCCTGTCTCTTTCTATCTGTCTGTCTTTCTCTGGCAAGCACACCCACACACTATAGCAAAAACCTATTGAAAAAAAATAGTAATGTGGACATTTAAATAACCTTTGGTTTCCTTATACAGCTGACTCTGACTTGGAAAAAAGAATTTCATTTCTGTTAAGCAATATTTGAGGTTTTTTCTCTCTTTTTTCCCTCTGCCATTAATGATCACTGCCCCAGAAATTGAGAGCTACACTTGTGGTCACTTAGTTATGTGTCTATATATTAAAATAAGGTCATTGTGGGGCTGGCAGGTGGTGTGGTGATTAAGGTGCTAGACTGCCACATGGCCAAAAGCATTCAAGTCCTGGAACTGGTGGCTTGCTTTCTCACTTCTCCTTTTTCTCTCTCTGTCTCTCTGTGGTAAAATTAAAAATAAATAATAATAACAAATAAAATTAAGTAAAATAAATAAATATTTTTAAAAGTCATCACTTTTTTAAAATGATATTCTCTGATATTTTAATTTTGTATTTTGCCTTTATGTCTTTTCATTTATTTATTTACATTCATTCACTGTACATCATGACAACATACAAAATGAGATTTTCCATCCAGAGTACTCTGTATATTGGCTCAATCAAACACATCAGTATACATGTTATCGTCAGCAAATAATTTTCCATTTCTTGTTTTCTCTATGTTTTGTTTTTTCTTCCTCGTCCTTGATTCCCTATCTCTTACCCTCTGCCATCTTCCACTCTCCTCCCACACTGTCTCTGGTATCTATGTTTGCTTTCTATACTGTTTCCCCCACATTTTATTGAGTCACTAAAGATCTTAATTAATCTAAATATTTTCATAGCAAGCACAGCTGATATATACATTTCTATGAACACAAGTCCAACTTTAGGCATAAGCCTCAATGAGTAGAATGAACATCCTATACAGTAGCACCCAGCTGGGGCTACATAGCATACTGCAGTCATTGAATAGGTATTTTTTTTTCTGCAACTTTTTTTTTTCAACTTAATTTACCCCTAAGCTCGTCACAGCATAAAAAATGTGATTTCCCATCCAGAATATACTGCATAGTGGCTTAATCATGCATATTATTATCGTAAATTTTCCATTTCTAGTTTCTAGCATGTGGACTTTTATATGTGTAATTTTTTTTTAATTTTGCCAGAGGTTGCAAGTGTGTGCCTGAAAGAGACCACAGGAAAGTGAGAAAGTACCCTTCATGGAAATGACCATATCACAAAGACTTCTCCTCTCTTTCTCCCTCTTTTCAGGATTTAGGGCATGCACATGCACCTGGCATTTTTTTAAGACACCAGGTCTGAGATTTGAACCACACAGGCTGCCATTTGGGGTCCAGAGGCCACACCATGGGCTGGTCCTATATCCGTAATCTATGAGTAGCACAGAAATTCAGATTTCTACCATGGAAAGTCAAATTGTCCCAACATCATTTATGGAAAAATCATCTTTCTCCTCTTACTGGTTTCGATGCCCCTTCTGTCTTACACCACATACTCCTATATGCACAGGAATGTCTCTGGATTCTTACTCCACTTCACCCACTTATTCATTGGTTCTAGTGGCAATGTTGTGTTATTTTAAATTCCATGGATTTGGGGCCAGCAGGTGGTTCAGGTGGCTAGATTTCCGTATGGCCAGCTACAGTTGACCTCCCAGACCTGGTGGCTTGAAAATCATGCCAGGAGGATGTGTGTACATGCCCAAAATCCTGAGAAGAGAATGAAGGAGTAGGAATTGCAGTGTGGTCATCCCTCTTGGAGGGTTATTTCCCACTTTCCCTCTCTCCTCTCTGGGAAATGCACGCACCCTATGGAAAAACAAAACAAACAAAAAAAAAAAAAAAGGAAAAAGAAAGAAAGAAAAAAAAGCAAACCTAAATTCCATGGATTTGTAAGTGTCTATGACAGTCTCACTTCTTTAATTCAAAATTCTTTTTTTGTGTGTGAAGGGTGACATTGTAAGAAACTTACCCTTCCAATGACTTCTAAAATAGTCTATTAAAGGTCACAAATATTTTTGGAATTTTCATTGAAATTGTAATTAATTTTATATTCATTTAATGAAAACTGGCATATCTAATATATTGCATTTTCTCATCAATTAACTTAGTGTGTGTTTCCATTTAGGGAAGTAGTATTTCCCCTTCAAAGTTTTATACTTGTCCATGATGAGCTTCTTTATCAAGTCTTTAGGAAGACAACAAAAGAATTCCTTAGGAAAGATTAAGCCACGCTCTGTAATATAAATTCATTACATGCAAAATATTATTCAAACTTTTGTTCCTAAGACGTTTACCTTCTATCCCATTCTTAGCTAGGGACTGGTAGTATTTGGCCACATTGCTTTTGTCCCCTACAGTTGGAGCAAGGATGAGATGTTCCTTCCTAATGTCAGTCATTAGTACATCTTATTCTTCCATGATCCTCTCTTCCATAATGAGCATTTTCCAGTTGATTCTGCCTCTCTACATCTTTAAATCTGAATGATCTTTCTGTCTATTGTCAGCAGTCTATAAAGTCACAGGAGAAGGGGATACTAAAGCCGTTTTGGTGAGAAGATTCACTTCTTAGAACACAGATAAAAACTAATCTTCTGCAACACAATATGGATGCCTATTAAAGATCCCTTTCAGAAACATAGGCTCAGATCTTTAATGCCAAATTGTGTCTGCATTCCCACAACACTGCTCATGACTCTCTTTTAATGTCTGCACTCTTTCAGGTTAGGAAGGGAATTCTTCAGTGTTATTAAAGTATGGCTAGCCTGTCATGGTAGCAGTGTCAATTAGTAACAACTTTGGAATAAGTCTCCCAGTTCCTTCTGTCTTTCTTGCCAACAGCCGAGTCTCCCAATCTCTTCTGGATTACCAAACACAAAGATGTTATTGTATTGCCTCTTCCCATTTCTTACCACCTGGATGAGCTACGTTATTCTGAAGGAGGTTCAAGTTTCTTGAGAAGACTGAAGTGTCAGAGGCATCACAGCCTTAAACCCTTGGATTACTAGTGCAGAGCAGTCAGGATAATGATGGCAATTTTGCATATGTGCATACATGCACATACGTGGTGGGACCATTTGCTAAAATGCATACTAACAAGCTATTTTTTTATTTCTTTTTAGTTTTTGCTATAGTACATGTACACTCACCAGAGAAACTCAGACAGACAGAGAGAGAAAAGGAAAGTACAAATCTACCCCCAAAGGGGATGACCACACCACAGTTCATTCTCTTCTCAGAATTTTGGGCATTCATGCACACACACCTGGTGTGTTTCTTAAGTCACTGGATCTAGGTCTTGAACCACTCAGTGAGCCACGTGGGATCCAGCCACCTTATCCACTACCACCTGGCCCCTAACTAGCTATTTCTTAAAACAATTTCTCAGCTCATACTTTGCACTGTAAGATACACAGGTTAGTAAATACTGCACTTTTTAACTTTAAAACCAAAAAGATGGAAGAGGACAGTTTTCTGGGTCTCTAGTTTCTCCTCTTTGTAACTATAATCATTGCAATTATTAAGGAGGTCTCTGTTCATAGGCTACAAAGGCATCTTCCTCTTAAAGAATTAGAGTTCTTTCACTGGGTTCTTGATGTACATGCTTTCCCTGTGGTTAAGAATATACTTTATAGATATTAAGCTATTCTCTCTTCAGATGTGGTCTGATTGATCTAATTTCACTCAAGGGAGACAATGCATTACTAATGGATACTTTGTCTCAAATTGCAGATTACAGTATTTCGGATGGGATCAGAAGGACACCAGGACATTGATTTGGCGATCCTGACAGCTTTACTCAAAGGTAAAAGAGTTTGTGTTCCAAGAATGCAAAAATAACTTAAATGGATTAATGCATCAACCTTACATCTCCTAATAGCAGATATAAACTCAAATGATACATGACACATCCAATTATTCATAAAATAAGGAACTCTCCTCTAAATCACTGCTATTAAATTCTTCTTTTGGGTAATCGGAAAAGTCATGATGCATTTTTGCATAGAAAAACATGAAGAAAAATCATGACTTTTCCAATAACTCAATTGAATACATTTCTTACAGTGCGTCTTGATTTCATAAGGTTTAAATATACTACAATTCAAGTCTTGTTCATTGAATTATAAAAATATGTATAAAAAATGGATATAATTGGTGCCAGCAAGTGGCATGGTAGTTAAGGTACTGGACTCCCACACGCCCAAACATGATTTGAATCCTGAGCCTGGTGGCTTGCTTTCTCACTTCTCTTCTCTTTCTCTCTTTCTGTCTCTCTCTGATGAGCACAAGTGCTTTTTAGAGCATAGGTAAAAACTAACCCTCTGCACCACAACAATATGGATGCCATGGTGCTTCTTGTGTGCCCATGAAAGAGTCAATCCAATATTTAACAAATTTTAAAATAATAATAAGTTAATTAAATAAATGATTTTTTAAGTTGCTGTAATAAGATACTAAGTTACCTGGGGTCATTCAATAATATTACCTGATCTATTTTTAAAAACCATTTAATGTGGCATATAAAACTGTATATATATATATATAGTGTGTGTGTGTGTGTGTGTGTGTGTGTGGTCTGTATGTGTCATAGTCAATGGTTTATATAATGTTATATAACAGTAATAGAACAGCAACCATTGTATTCTAATTTTCAGTCTGCTACCTTTCTTTCACCATTAGTGTTTTCTTGAGTACCCATCACGCAATAGCCACTGTGTTAAGCTATTTACAAATACTGTAAACTTTGTATTTATTGCAATCATATGCTGCAGGAGCTATTTTTAACCCTCATTTTACAGATGGGACAAGTGTAGCTACAAAAAGTTAGGTGACTTGCCAAAAATAACAATACTTATTAGCAGTAGTAAGCCTAGATTTAGTTCTAAGTCTATAACTCTTCCCTGTACCAAATGTGTAACCCCTTTGACAAGAATAACTATTGATCCTCTCCCACCCACTTCCCAAACGTTTATATGCATATTTGTTCAAAATCCTGATCACATTTGAGGAGGTCTACAACCCCGTGAAGTGTGTCTTGAGTCTCAGGTCAAGAACCTCTTCTCTAAAGTATTTCATCCCAATGAACTAAAAAATAAAAACATTGGGCAGAATAATTAAGGGAACCTGCATGGGCCGAACTACATAGCATAATGTAGGGCCCATTTTCCCTTTGTTAGAGACAAAAATGAAAGTTTTAGGAAAGTAATTCTATGACTTACTTTTTTGTCTTTTTCTTATTTTTTTTTTAGAGGCCACACTTACCAAAAAGAGACACAAAGAAAGAGGAAAAGACACTCCCCGTGGGAATAGTCACACTACAATCCCTTCTCCTCCACCTCCCTCTCTTCTGTATTTTGGGCACACATGCACATGCATTCAGGGTGTTTTCAAGCTACCAGGTCTAGAACTCAAATGTCAGGATTGACCATGTGGGCTCAGGCTGCTTTAACCACCAGGTCACAGAGCCAACCTAAGATTTGCTATTCTAATGTAAAGATAAGTAGTAATAATGTTTATAACATTTTGTGACACTTGTGTGTGTCATACTCTGCATTAGGTGTATTCTATGTATAAACACGTTTAATCTTTCCAGCAATTCCATCACTAGTTCATGATAATCTCCATTTTATAGATTAGAACACTGAGGTGCAGATTAACTCAGTAACATTTTCAAGATGAGCTGGCCAGTACATGATAGAGACAGTCTGACCTCGAAGCCTTCGCTTACATGTACCACCAAGATCTCCTATCCTATTGCTAAGGTGAAATGAAATACCTCATTTACAACTGTGAAAAAAATGCACAGCAAGTGGAGAAGTGACCTCATTACCAGTGAAATCACACTGACCACCATAATATCTTCTACTGAAAATATCTTCCTCTTTCACCAATCTGTGATACTTCACATTGTGCTGTACCTTTGGATTAACTTTGGTATTTATTTGTTATAGAATAGTTGCTTTCCAATATTTTTGAGCATGATAAAACCATATGAAATGCATTTTATATTTTAACAAATACTTACACATTAAATGTAGAAAATGAAATTAAAGCACATGAAATAATATTTACATCGACTATATGCACAAATGGGATGTTTTTTACTCATCTATTCTGTTTGCTTTAATGCTGATTATATTCCACTAAATTGATTTCAGGACTCACTAATAGGTCATAACCTGCAGTTGAAGATTTAAGGAATTATGATTTCCCTGAGAAATTAACATTTCTAATCACAATAATGGACATTCTTTATGCAGTAGTTGATGCTAATGGGAATTTATGCTATTAAAAGATTATGGTGGGTGAACTCTCTTTTGTGAAGGGTTTTAACAGCTCTTGGATATTGACCCAGTTGATTTGTAAAAACTATCAAGCATAATACTTTTGCTGACTTCGATGGAGGTCAAGAGTGTGTTTTTATAGTTTCAAATCCAAGCGTGTCGATTATTCTTCCTATGTGTTTTTTTATTATTATTATTATCCCTGGGCATTTAACATAATTTAATACTTAATTTCTACAATTTAGTTCTCAATTAATTACTGCTTGAGGAATCTTTGTATAGTCCAGTTTTGATTCTGAAAAATCTGGGAAATTTCTGAGAAAAGCAAAAGATAAAAGGAGGAGAGAGTCTTAAAAATTAATCATTGTTCCATAAACTTAGAAGAAAAAAAAAAAAAAGAAAGAAAGAGACAAATAAGAAGCCAGATGGCAGTGGTGGTTAATGCGATGGACTTTCACATGATTGCGTTCGAGTCGTAGACCCGGCAGTTTAAGAATCATACCCAGAACCTGTGCATGTGTCCCTAAAATCCAGACAGGAGAAGGGATTGCAATCTGGTTATTTTCCCCAGGGATTGATTTCTCACTTTCCCTCTCTGTTTCTGGCAAGTGCACGTGCCCTATGGCAGAAACCAAAAAAAAAAAAAAGAGGAGGAGAAAGAGAGAGAGAAAGAGAGAGAAAGAAAATGAAGGGAGGAGAAACCAGATGGCTGTGGGAAAATTACACCTTTGTCACTTCTTGTTTCTAATTTGGATTTCATTTTTTTTCAGGATTTGCATATTATGTATTATAGGATACTGTTTATATAATACAGACTTATTAGCTGTCTGTTCAGAAAAGAAAAGCCAAAGGAGAGGATTTTAAGTAGTTCCAATACAAAGTAATGCTAAGTAATTGAGGTAACAGACATGCACATTATCCTGATCATAACACATAGTACGTATGCACTGAAAACCATACTGAACCCCGGTTCAGTATGTACAATTATTGTGTCAATTCAAAATAAAAACAAAGAATGCAAAAAAGTTTTTTGCATGCCAGAAAGACTAAGCAATTAAATAAGTAATACGTTTCAAAAAGAACTTTGTTCTGAAGATGTCAGAGGCCTGTGGTTCTTTTAGATGGTGACCTGGATTAGTTTTTGAAAAGAAGTGATGTCACAGTCGTCCTTCACGTTAAAGTCTGGGCCAGCAACTGTGCACCCTTCTCCTCACCAGTTACAGCCCTCCCCTTCTCCTACCCCTTCCCCAGCCACACACATACAGGAGAGCTGAAAACGCGTGATGTCCCGTTGACTGAGTTTTCAAATAAAGAGAGAATTTCTTAGCACATGCATGTCCCAAATAGGGCACAGTCATAAGAAAAAATTGTTCATTATTTCCCTGAAACTCAAACTTAACTGGGAGTTCTGCATTTTTATTTGCTAAATTAGTTTCTCTATCCAGAGGTGAGCTGACATAATTTATACTTCTGGATGTGCTGACACTGTCACCGCTTGGTGACAGTGGGTTGCCATATGGCTGACAGAGGTTCAAGTCCTAGACCCAGAGGCTTGAGAAACATGCCAGGCGTGTGTGCATGGGTGTCCAAAATCCCAAAAGAACGGAGACATGCAGGAGAAGGGTTGGCAGCATGACTGTCCCCATGGTGGCAAGGAGGAGGGGAATACTTTTTCTTCTCCCTTTGTCTCTCTCTGGCAAGCATATTCTTTAGTGAAAAAGAAAAAAAAAATTAAGAAATCTTTTGGACTTCAAGCATCCCTCACATCCCAGCGTAAACCTTTTGCTCCAAACTCACTAAAGCCACAAAACATCTGCTCGCAGCAAATGAGGTCATTAAAGTGACCCTGGGTCCCTTCTGTGAATACAGGTACACCCAATTTTTTTCTACTTTTCTTACAGTCTTTGGATTCAATATAAGTTTAAATCATACAAGTGTATTCTCTTTCACTCACGCACGTGCAATACAGTGTAGTATGAGATGACTGCTGTCCTCCGTAAAGGAGAAATATTTAGTCTTTGGGTCTGCTCTTCATTGGTAAAGTTTATCAGAGGCATGGGGAGAAAGCAACCTTCATCACTTACTTCCTTTCCTTCGAAGCATGTTTAAAGTGCTAAAAGTGTATAAAAGCAGTATATTTCTCCTGAAAACTGTCAAGGTCATAAAAAACAAGGGAAGTTTGAGAAACTGTCAGAGCCTAGAGGAGCCTAAGGAGACATGACACCTAAGCGTTATGTGGTTTCCTGGAGCAGGAATTAAAAAAAAAAAAAGAAGTACCAGGTTAAAAATTAAGATGATCTGAATAAAGTACAGACTTTAAGGGTTTTTTTTTTCCTTTTAATGTTAAGAGAAAATAAGAAATATATACTATTAGATATTATGTATCCAAGGAGACAAGTTGTAATCAAAAGCTTCCATAATTCTTTCATATCAAAAGACCAAAAAAGATCACAATCTATAGTATTGATTATAAAGGTCAAGCACATATAGACTCAAAAGACTGACAGGCACAATAGTATCT